AGGAATGGATGGTAGATGGGGTGGGGGAGGGGAGGGAGAGGGAGAAGGGATTGACATGTGAAACAAGCCTGTTCCTAATTTGAACTAATAAAAAATAAATAAATACTTTCCTTTAAGAAAGAAAGAAAAAATAATTGTATTTTTAAAATGTCAACTTTACATCTCCTCCTTTCCCATATTTCTCAAGGTACCTAAGGAAGTGTATTACATCACTCACTACAGAGTACTTACACAAATGAAGATATTGAATGAAAGAAGCCAAAGTTGTATATTTTATCTCAGTATTAATTAACATGAAATATAAATTAACCTAAAATCAACATTTGCTTGAGGTAATATATATTAAGGTATACATTTCCAATAATTATCAATAAATGTGAACCAATTCTCACATAAAAACAAAAAGTCCAGATTGACTCCTTGAAATTTGGGTTCGTGTGTAATGAATGGCTGATTTTCACCTGAAATAATGGTCCCTAGGGACTTGGATTCATATTTGAATCCCTAGATTCCCAGAGACTTACTCTCAAAGGTAAATAGTGATTTGGGAGACAGCTAGGTGACTATAAAAACAGGTTATATCTATCTTGAATTTCTACTTTAAAATGAATCATTATTTCAAAAGGTGAGTGTACGGACTTTCCTCTACCATTGCAGAATACTTTGTTCTTGGAAAATGTATATTTTAGTTTAGGTATATTACAAAAAAAATTGACTGAATCAACTTATACTTTCATAGTCAAATTCTTGTGAATAACTAAGCATAGAACTTAGCTCTCAAAGTGTTCTTATTTATCCACACAAGTAGAAGACAGGGAACCTGCATGGCCTCTAGTGGCTTGTAAGCATAAAACTCAAAAGAAATTGTAATGAATTCACTACCTTTCACAAAGGTTGGTAATTTCATGCAATAATCCCATGGAAATACAGAATTGTTTATAGACTTGCTAGGAGTCATGTGACATCTTTGGGGGGAGAAGGCCTGAGAATAGCATGAACAAGTTCTCCTTGTGGCAAAGCCATAGAGAATTTAACCATTTTAGGCAAGGCCAATAGTTCACTGCATAATTCTGGGTATAACCTCAGGAGCCTATTGCTACCTGCTCTTCTTGCTTCCCTTAAACAAATTATTGCTGGCTGTCTCTAGTTTCACTTTCTTAGAGCTATGGATGAAATGGCTTTAACATAGGGAAAACTTCCCTCTGACGACTCTCCTCTGGATGAGCCAGAGAGTATGATATTGATAATTTACAGTGAACCTGATTCTGCTCCTAAAGCCTTTGATGTTTGAAGTGTGACCATGATTCCAGGAACTCAAAAACATGATGTTGCCTTTCCATCACATTTTGTGACTAGCCTGAAAAGGGTCACAGTAGTTCAGAGCATTACAAATCTGCATAACTGCTTTGGAGAGGAGGATTTTAACCACAAAAGTCTAGGAGACATGCTATTAGTAGATGATATCAAGAGTTAATGGGAACAGTCTAGGAACAAGAAATGAAGCAGAATCATAGAAATCCATGAGGCCCTCATTTCTATAGCTGTGCCAATACTGTAGAAAGCTTAGAGGAAAGGGGGCATGAAAACAAGGAACAAACAGTGCCAAATATTGAGAGTAAGTTTTAAGTTATGTAGTTTACAGGATACTAGGAAAAAACATGGTATATCTTCCATGAGAGATAAAACAGTACAGAATGGGGAATGAACTGACTCAGCTTTGGCTAATGAGTTATTTGTGAGAATTTATATTTGACCAGATGTGAAACATTAATCACTAAAGACAAAATTCTCTTTTACTTTGCAGGGTGCTGTAACTGCCAATGCTGCCAGCCTGGCATGCTGTTCTATCTGTAGGTGTGCCTAATTAGAAAACACCTTGTTTATTGGAATAATTCTTCTGCTTTTAATATTGGAACTATGAATCAAGTATGTGATGTTTACAGGTGGAAAAGTTAGGGGGTGGAAAGAGAAAGTGGTAAAGCAACAAACTGTCAATTATTGACATTATTATCAGATACTTAAGGAAACAAATTTGACTGTAAAATTGTTCTTGCAAACTACTGAAACTGCATAGATAAAAAAACAGCTCAGGTTATCCAGGGCCACTTGTTTGAAACAGGTGGTCAGAGTTTCATCATTACACCAGCTTCTCACATCTGTCCCAGATTGTGAGACACAGTGGGAATTAAAATTCACTCTCCCAGCACTGAATGAATGCTCTAGCCTCACAGGCTCCAGGAACTACGGACAAACACAAGAATATAAGGCTAAAATTCTCAAGATATGACAGTGTTCTAGATCCTAGCTGGGTGTACCTGGAAACAATATTTCAGGCTGAATATTTACCCCTTGTCTTCGGTTGAAAATCACATTATTTCATTCCGTTGTCCTCAAGTTAGAAAATATCACAACGTTAGAAAAGTATTAGTGAGTGTATAAATAAGCACTTACTAATGTCATTAGAAAGGGTATTCACATATTTGCAAGTGACTAGCATCTCTGAGTCTGTGGGTTGTAGCATGGTTATCTTTTACTTTACAAATAATATTGGAAAGAATTCTTAAAGGTCAGAAATTATGACTTCATTACATAATTTTGTATTTGTAAAGTTGAATGCTTTCTTGTACATATAATACTGCTTTGTTATTTTCATAAGTCTCACAATTTACATATTTACTTTTCAGTACACTTAGGTACATTTTATTATATACATAAATGAAAATTAAAGATACATTATTTGAAGGAAATTTCTAGCATTTCATTTTGGAATAATTAAATCATCAATGCACATGAACATGCAAATACTGAGAGTTCAACTTAAGATCCCAATTACGTATTTTGAAGGCCATATTTGTTTGCAATAACTTTTGTCTATGTATTACTGAAACTGCAGCCACATATTTATAAATTCCTTCCTATAATGTCTCCATTGCAGCCTTGATCTGGCAGCAGCTACACTGTCCCATGGCTTTCCTGGAGGACAGAAACCACACTGCAGTGACAGAGTTCATTTTATTGGGCTTGACAGATGACCCAGTTCTCAGAGTCGTCCTCTTCACCATCATCCTGTGCATCTACCTGGTGACTGTGTCTGGGAACCTTAGCACTATCCTTCTCATCATAGTTTCTTCCCAGCTTCATCACCCCATGTACTTTTTTCTGAGTCACTTAGCTTCTGTTGACATAGGCATCTCATCTTCTTCCACACCCAATATGCTTGTCAGCTTTCTGGTGGAGAGAAATACCATCTCCTACCTTGGATGTGGCATCCAGCTCAGCTCAGCTGCTTTCTTTGGATCAACTGAGTTCTTCATTCTGGCTGCAATGGCTTATGATCGTTTTGTGGCAATCTGCAACCCACTGCTTTATTCCATGAAGATGTCCTCACAAGTCTGTTTGCAGTTACTTATAGGATGTTATATTGGTGGTTTTCTTAATGCTTCTTCCTTCATCATTTCCTTCTTTTATTTTTCCTTCTGTGGACCAAATAGAATCAATCACTTTTTCTGTGATTTTACTCCTTTAGTTGAACTTTCCTGTTCTGATAATAGCATCCTGGTAGTTCTTGATTCATTATGTGCTGGCTCCATGATTGTGATCACAGTGTTTGTCATTGTTGTTTCTTACACCTACATCCTCATCACCATCCTTAAGATGAGCTCCACTGAGGGCCGCCAGAAGGCCTTTTCTACCTGCACCTCCCACCTCACTGCAGTCACTCTCTACTATGGCACCATTACATTCATTTATGTGATGCCCAATTCCAGCTACTCCACAGACCAGAACAAGGTGGTGTCTCTGTTCTACATGGCGGTGATCCCCATGTTGAACCCTCTCATTTACAGCCTCAGGAATAATGAGATTAAGGGTGCTCTGAAGAGACAGCTTAGTAAGAAAACATTTTCTTGAGATGTCTCTAATCTGTTATTTTGTCATATGCTATGTAGCTATGATATATCATAGATATAATATTAAAAGGAAACTGGGAAAAGAGGAAACTGGTTATTGATGGTTGAAATACAAGATATGATATATAACTAGACTTGTAGTTTGGTAGTAAATGTTCAGGTTGAGTAGCTTTTCACTTACCCTGTGGATTTTAAGTGACTAGTCATGCAAATTCATGAGAAAATTGAACACACACACCATGTGGTTGAGATATATATCTATATATCTATATATCTATATATCTATATATCTATAGATATATGTTTGCTTTTCACTTACCCTGTGGATTTTAAGTGACTAGTCATGCAAATTCATGAAAAAATTGAACATACACAGCATGTGGTTGAGATATATATCTATATATCTATATATCTATATACTATATATCTATAGATATATGTTTGTATAGTGGGGTGTGTGTGTGTTTGTGTGTGTGTGTGTGTGTGTGTTTTCCTCTCCTTTTCCATCTCCTTGTTTATCCTTGTGTATGAATTTTATGGGGCAATCCCATAAAAGTCTTGTACATATACATATACATATACATATACATATACATATACATATACATATACATATACGTGTCTATATTCTCATTTCTCTGGGGAAGCCTAGCTGATACCACAGCTTACTAACTTTTGATTTCTATTCCTCACATGCTAAATTGGCTCATGTATAAATCAACAAGTCAAATAAACTATATCCTTTTGTAATCTTCCAAATTTTTGAATTGGATTGTTTGTTTTCTTGATTATTGCATTTTTAATTCTTTGTATATTATAGTTATTAATCCTCTATCATATGTATAGTTAACAAAGATTTTCTCCTACTTTCTGGGCTTCCTCTGCATATGAATGTTGATTTCATTTTCTGTTCAGAATCTTTTTAACATTATGAGGTCATTTATAAATGATTGCCATTAATTCATGGGAAAATGGAGTCCTATCTAGAAAGTCATTTCCAGTACCTATGTCTTGGAGAGGACTGTCCATGTTTTCTTCTAGGAGATTCAGAGTTTCAGGGTGCACATGGAGGGTTTTGGTTCATTTGGATTTTGCCCAAATGATAGATATGGTTCTAACTTCTTTCTTTTTCATGTGGATATCTCATTTTGTAAGCAGTATTTGTTAAACATGCTGTCTTTTCTCCAGTGTGTTTTGGAAGCTTTGTCAGGTATCTATACTAATTCTTAAGTCCTACAGGTTGCTTCTCATCACTCATGATTTTTTTCTGAATATACAAACAGGTGAATTATGGGAATTACTCATTTGCTTTATTTCAAAACCATAAACTTGTCTGTATTCTCTGCTGCCTCAAGCCCCTACCCTCTTACACATAGTGCTACTACCCACAATGCATTGTTCCTTTCATATTGGTCTATATTAGTCTCTGATTAGTTTGTGTCTACCAACGTTTATATTAGTAAGCATTCCAGAAAGACTGCTGTAAACTCTACACTAAACCAAGGATATCGTTATGTGATGATCAGCCCTCCTAATCCTCAATGGGCTTGTGTTGCATGCTTATGTCTTGTTTTTTCAGTGCTCAAATTTTGTATTGATAGTTAAAATGGTGTCCTCTTCCTCTACTTTCCAATTTTCACATACTATTAGTATTGGCTTTAATGCATATTAAGTTTAAATAAATGAAGAAAATTCAATATTCAAATGTATAATGGAAAGTTTGCTCTGTGTGGTAGTTTAAATGTAATTGGTCCCTGTAATCTCATAGAGAATGGTGCTATTATGAGGTCTGACTTTGTTGAAATGGTTATGGCTTTGTGGAGAAAGTGTGTCACTATGGGAGTGGAGTATTTTTTATGATGATCTGGACCATATGTTTGTTTGGAAGAATTTAGACATTGGTACTTTGGGTTATGAATCTTCTTCAAAGATTACCCACTTAGGGCCATGCAGGAATGAGATGGGGTGAACCCAAAAGGGGTTGTTCTGTGCATTGCTATTGTTTCCGATTGGATTTTTGAGCAGTTAAATGAGTAATTTGAAATTGAATGCTTTAAGCATTGCTTAATGGGCCATATTAGTAAGAGCATAGAAGACAGTGGCATTAAATGTGATATTATGAACTATAGGTGTTACTCAAAATGTTACAGAGGAGACGAATGTTAGTATGCATCCTAGAGATTGATCTTGTTATATTTTGGTTAAAAAATTGGCTGCTTTATGTCCTTGTCCAAAGAGTCTGCCTGAGGCTAATGTGAAGAGATTTGAATTAATTCTGTTGGTAGAAGAAATCTCAAACCAACCTTGTATAGAGTCTGTCATGTGGTTACTAGTGGTAACTCTAATGAAGACTTATAATGAAAAGAAGCAAGATAAGCAGGATAAATTACAAAATGTACATTTTGAGGAGAAAAAAAGCACCAGGAAGAAGAAGTCAGCTAAGTCCTGAGTTCAATTAGATAAGTGGATTATGAAATGAAACAAAAGGAATGGTGACCTGAGAGCAAAATCACACGCAGGTAACTTTCCAACTTGTGGGAAGAAACTAAAGAAAAGCTAAAGCTGTGTATGGTTGGGCACACCTTCAATCCCAGCCCTCAGGAGGCTGTTGAATCTCTGAGTTTGAGGCCAGTCTGGTCTACAGAGCAAGTTTCAGGACAGCCATGCCTAGACAGTGAAAGACAGAAAGCTGGATGAAAGGTCAATTTTCCAGCCCCAGGAAAGAGAAGAACTTGGCAGTGTCAGCCACATGGTCCTGGCTTTAGAGTTAAGAATAGAAGAAAGGAGTTAGGAATAAAGCCACTGAAGCCATACATGTGTCAAGGGTGTCTCTAAATAGAGGCCTAGTACAGAGGCCATTGTGTGAAGCTGTGAGGTTGGCTTCCTCTTGCCTGAAAAATGTAAGACTCTCAGCTATTTCTTCAGCACTATATCTGCCTGCATACTGCCATGCTCCTCGTCATGATGATAATGAACTGAACCTCTGAAACTGTAAGCAATCAACCCAAGTAAATTTTTTCTTTATAAGAGTTGCCACAGTCATGGTGTCTCTTCACAGCAATAAAAACCTTAACTAAGACACTGTCTAAATCATCGACTCAGTAGGCTCTAAATATTTAACAGAGATGTAAATAGGCATTTCAGTGTAAGGAATTGATGAGGAAAAATGCAAGATTCCAACATTGCAAATGGCATGGTGGTTTCTATTAGACTAACTTTATGAAACAAAATAAAAGAGAAGTAGGATATAGATTTTTATAAAATAGAAAAATAAATTGCCAGAGACTGTTTATTGAAAGGGATCATCTATTAGAAAGGCATTTGTACATCCACAGGAGTTGGATTATTGTCCTGTTCTCTGACTCTTATATTAGCTACTTGTTAGGGGGTGTTCCCCTTTGGTCTCCCTGTGAGGTCTGTAATACCTACTAAAACATTTATTTTGAATGGCACAGATTTAGCCTAGTACTTGTTGTGTACTTATGTTATGTACCTTCCCATAGAATGTTAATAATTAACACTTTTATTTATACTTCTCTGTACTCTCTTTTACTCTCAAGTTATTCCCTTCCATTAATACACCACATCATCTACTCTTTGTTGATTCAGAAGCATGAAAGTACTTTATCTCTCTTTTATCTACAGTCCTACAATAGAGCAAATGCTTTGCATATTCTGGGCATGATGAATATACCACTCCTTTGCATCTTCACTGACCCAGTCCCGAAGCCAAAGTTTTTCACATTTACTTTACAATAAATTAAGAGGTTTAATATTGTGTGTGGACATGACTAGGATGTGGTGACCACATGATTGGTTCAACATGAGCCTAAGATAATATTTAGATGCAATTACTATTTAGTACTTATTGACTGAAACAGATAATTCTACACAATCTGGATGTCCTGATCCAATCACCTAAAGGCCTTAATGTCTGAGGTCTTCAAGAGGACTTTGGATTCTAATATAATATAATCTCTCCCTCCCTTGTTTTTGTCTCTTTCTATGTGTCTTTCCTGCCACTTCATTCCATGCCCATTCTCCTTCTCTCTATTTGTGTATGTGAATTTCAAGCATACTTACTTCAAATCTCTCCTGAGACAAGTTATTGAGTATGTACATATATGAGTATATGCTTATATAGTATGCTTATATGTGGTGTGTGTGTGTGTGTGTGTGTGTGTGTGTGTATTCTGCTTAAATAGGAAAATCTACTACAACCCTAAACAGCTTCCCTCATCTGTACTTACTCTGTTCTTACTCCATGCATCAGTCATAGCCATAAACAGAAGAAATTATTTTCTTTCTCAAAGCCCCCAAAAGATCTACATCATTCACTATGTCTTAGAAATCCTTAAAATGGTCATCATTGTGGTCCATATTAATTGTCAGCTAGATAGGATCTAGAATCACCTTCTGGACATGTCTATGAGGGAGTTTCTAGATTGGGTTAATTGAGATAGGAAGAGCCAACCTAAATATGAGACACTATTCCACAGCCCACACTAGGTTGACTAAAGGAATTTATTATATCTTAATGTATAGTGTACTGATTGTTCCATAATCATTGCTTGTTTTCCCACAACATTAGATGTTTCATTTACATGGTTAAAATGTTTTTCTCTTTTCCTGAACTCTAATTTCCTATTACTTCTAAGTTCTTAGAAAACTTAAATAAATAATAAGCTTCAATGAATTAAAATATTAGTTAATGAATGAAAACCTATATTCTCTGTCTGAAATCATTGATCCTTCTGGTTGTGGATATGCTACAGAGCATTAAACAGTATCTACAGACTAAGGAAAGATCATGGCCACTGACATTTGCCATCCTTTAAGGCCCAATCCTTGAGAAGGCAAATGGTAAGATTTGTAGAAGTCTCTATCATTAGGGAATCCTGTTTTTGACACATTGCCCTTGGTAATCTCCTTCCATCCTAAATATGGAAGCCTCCACCTCTGAACTGCCATGTTGGATTGTATTAATCTAATCTTCTTTAA